CGGTTGTTCACCTACTGCATTGATTATAAACATGTTTATTGTTTCTCATGATTGGCTATCCTACATATGCCATTTTGTCGTATTAGCCCCACGATAACGAATCACATCTATCATGGGCAAATGGAAGACTACTATTCGTGTCAATGCAAAAAATGAACCAATAATCAATAAATTAAATATAAAACGTGGCGTCTGAGCTCTTACTGGTTCTGCCTGTCAATGAACCCCCTCTCGACACTCCTGTACACTTCTACACTCTTTGCTCTTTGATGATTTAAAACTCGGATTTGAACTAAGACACAGTAAAAAGTTTCAGATAACCAACTCAGCCTGTAAAGATTACACCGACCTGTACTCGGGCACGATTCTTGGACAGAATATACAGATAAAACTCACTGAAAGTTATGTGTTACTCACCAAAGGTCTCCAGAGATAAACACGCAATTGGTAATAGATAAATGAAAAATATAACAATTGCAAAAGGGAAAATTCACTAGTGAACTCACACATGAGACTGTTTTGTGGAAAGAAAGATAATACTAGCTGTCTTTTAGTGAGTAACAAGAGCATTTGATTGAGTTGTCAGGAACAAAATTTGGGAAATTATAAAAGATATAGAAATCTCACAACATTTACAAATTACGTAATAAAACTGATTGCCGGAACTACAACCCTCGCTCTGAAAGACGGAGGAATTACACACCTTCGTGTATCCCAGGGAGTTAGGATTGCGCATCTTCAACACTACCCAATACTGAAAACGACTTCCAAACAACTAAAGACAGTATTAAAAACTTCCTTCAACCGTTGACACCTCAAAGGTTGCATCCAATTAATATGCAGTATCAATTATCATTTTCTCTACTGGAATTCTTAAATAGTCCAAAACCGGCAACGGAAACTCGTAAGAGTTCAAATGACGTTTCGGTTACCAACATCCAAAACGCGTTTTCCAATTGCGACGCACGAGAGGGGTTAAGGCGATTGTGATCATTTAAAGTGAGAAGCTACAATGTGATTGCGGAGAATGATGGCAAATAGATATCCTCTCTATCTCAAACACGATGTGCCAATTGAACCGTCTCTTTTGCACCAAGAGATTCCTGGAAACAGAACGCACTCCATGGCGCATATTCTACTGCCGTTACCAATAGGTTTACACATGTCAAAGCATAAATGTACAATTACCAAAATATAAGATATATGTACCCTGAGTGCGAAGGCTTTGAAATCGCAATCCAAGACCTGACGATTCCCACAACACGAAAAATGTATTGAAAGACAGAAACACTTGATAATTGCGGTATATGTGGCTGAGATCTTGAAATCATATCAGGTTGTAGTGCGTTAGCTCCCTCAGACTACAAAACTGAGACACGATCAGAAGAGTCGCCTATGCTCCCATCGTCCATTCTAAATTTAGTAGGTAATACGGGCAATCAAACACAGCATACTACCAATATCAGAAAGGATTTAAACTAAAATATCAATATTTAAAAGTGGATACAGATACGATTTTGAAAAATAACATGGAATCAATTTAATAAATTCAGTATATAAAATATATGCTAAAATATTAAGAGTTGAGGCTATATCAGCGCATATGATAAAAAATATATACCGTGAAGGTCAACAGTAATACTTCTATTTTCGGTGGTTTTAAGGTTTTGATAGCAACAAAGTTGCAAGGAAAAATCTATTTGAAGTTTTACTGTAGTTACCTCCAACTTTATTAGCGCTTATTTAAACTTGTAAAAAGAAGCCGTAATTCTTATTTTATAACGAAGGGAACAGATAAGTTTTTCTTTCCTCCAGTAAAGTACAGAAATTGTGAGTTACGACTCTTACAGAAATCATAAACAGGGTTTCTTTTGAAGCCCAGTTTTATTTTTTTAAATTATTTTTCTAATTAAGTTACTTTTTCAATATTTGAGAATTTAACAAACCTGTATTTATAGCATTCATAGACATATAAGGAATACACTCTAGGAAATTATAAAAGAAAAATCACAAAATTTCTATTAAATGCTATATGAAGTCTAAATGCTGAAATTAAAATTAAAATAGAAGTAAATGCGTATTGAAAGAGGCAAATATTAACCAATTTGTCGCAAAAGGGCGCCCTTTATCTTCCACAATATTTAACCATTATGTTGATGATGTCATCTCGCTGTAACATACTAACAATGCAATTTGATCTAGTTATATATCTTATTTTTCTGAACCTCTGTTAACAATTTTTGCGATAGAAAATCTCAACTTTCACTTCTCGCATTTCTGCTCAGTGAAGGAGTTTAGGGACTTTGCTATCAAGCACGTATTTCATCCGGGCTGGGGGTTCGAATCCTCCCAAGGCATGGACGTTGCGTGTAGTGGCATGGTGTGCATTTCTAATAGATCGTGTTTCACCCTTGAACGTAATATTTCTCACCTGCTTGTTTTGAGGAAGAAGTCAGGCGGTCAATGTGCGGGCCGCATCGTGAGTACCATCTGGGTGTGGCCTGGCTCCCTGCCTGAAATGCACGTCGGAGTGCGATGGGCTGGCGAGTAATACTTGCCCAGTGTGTTATGTACAAAGCCCTTTAAAGTCTCACGGGTAATATTGGCATGATTTCTGGCCAGGTGCTAAATGTGCGGGCCGCAGCGTGAGCTCCATGCACAAAGCCGTATTGGGGCTCATGAACCATATCGTCGTGATGTCTGGGGAGACAGCATGGGAGCTAACCTGATGGCTGCGCCTCGTGGAGTCTCTGCCGAGGGGGGAAAGGGGTTGGCTGCGTCTGCATTACTTTCAGTAGAACTTACGCTTGCGCATGTAGCCACAGCAGTATGTGTATAATTACCATTAACTGATTTGTTTATGCATAAACGAGCCACTTGATGATATATATGCTAATATCAACAACTCATATTGTCTCGATTCATTTTCCTAAATTCAAGACTACGAACTCTACCATTAATAGAATTGAATGGATTGTGTGCTATAAATTGCAGTTTATGCCTTACCATGGGAAATCAACTCAGAGAACTACCACTTTATCTTAATTAATCTTTGTCTTATTTATCTTATCTTTATCTTATCACAAAGAAATATATGACTCAGATATGATATTAAAGCCAGTGGTATTGACAAAACCGTTGACACTATTGCTCTCAAATAAACAATTTCTTCAACCGTCAGGGCTCGAAATGTAGGACCTTCCGGACGAAAAGCAGCGCTGTTGCTTCAGTTGCTGCTCAGAGCCAACCCAACCGGCCCCAATGTATCGGCATCAAAGCAAACATTCACAGAAGCAAACAATTTACATTTGTCGTTATAAATCAAGCTCTCTAGTATAGGTACAGTACTTACTAGAGTTGTATCGAAATGATCTCTTTTTAATGGTATTTCTCTGCACGTTTATGGGCGATTTAGACGGCACGCAATTTCGAAAGATAGGTCCACTTGAACAAATAAGTCTGCGTCGCCAGAAACGTAGTATGTATGGGTGGAGGTACTACATGAATATGTTGCATACGTAATACGATGACACCGGGTTGTCATCGTGTCCTTTCGTATCAGCATTTGCCACAGACATAATTTCAAATATTCATTACATACAAAGTTAAAGTATTTACTGTTCCTGCAGTATGAGATAAATAGGCAGATCTATATTGAGGATTTCACTTCTACTTTACTAGGTTATTCTCAATTCGATCAGTATCTCCAAGCATAGAGCTAGTGCGCAACGTAGAAGTCACGTAAGTGAAGATTATTTGTTCATTCTCTAAATTAAGTACAGTCAAGAGAGAAAATTGAGTCATTGAATCACAGAACGAATGAGTAATAATACAATACAAGATTTCATTACATTGGACGACAGTTAATAATTTTACGGATTGATTACCTAACGATCATTAATTACATGGTTTTCTTCACAAAATATAGAAGTATGTCTTTAAATCATGGAATAAATTAGTTCTATGATGAAACTACGATAGTGACGATGAATGTGTTACCCCCTCCCCCCAAGAACACGACTTTGATATCTACAAGTATTGTTGATAGGAATGAGTTTTTATAAGCATATTCAATTATAAGACTTTTCATATATCCAACTTCACGTACAAAAGTGTTTCATAAATATTATGCTCTTACCATATTCCTTCTTTAATATTTTTATGCAGTGTAGTACTTGACTGAATTGATTGTTACACATGACGTAGTCCATAACATATTCGCACTATATGAAGGATTGCACAATAGACTAATTATAAGAGATGAATGATTATGAATGAAATGGTGTTGAGAGGCCTTAAACGTGTAGGATGCCAATCACGCCACATCCACTTGCCAAATCCACCCACAGTGAGTGAGTGAGAAAATATTGCTTTGAGACGCGTCAATTTCTGAACCCATTAGGTCCGTAAACTGAGTGTTTTTCCCAGTCGATCCCAATTGAGGTATTCCTTTCCCACAGGAACGGGAGATCTGGCGCCGAACTTCATGTCCGCTTTCAAGTTTTCCCTTCCCGGCCCTTCCACCAGAGGGGTTTCGTCCGAGCCTTTAGAAGCGCGGCTGTGAGCTACGGACTAGTCTCCCGACATGGGTTGGAGTGAAGAACGTACAAATGTAAGTGGAGTGGAAGGGGAACGAAGAGGACAAGGATGGGAAAGTAAAGATGCCGCGCATTTTGTGGCTGGTTTGTTTGGGAACTGCTCTGACATTCGCCTGACAAGAATAAGAGGAAAGCTACCTATCAGAAAAGCCGGCTGATAGAATTCTCCTCCAGGCAGAAGTTGAATTCGACCTATGTCATTTGAACTATGTAGCCAATGTCCAAAATGCTGCACCATTGGGACTAACCCCAGGATCTTTCGGTCAACAGTGTCCCAGACAATGTTCGCGTCGATCTATCGCGACGGGAATGAACGACTGTAAGATTCTCATAACAATCAGAGAGGAATGCTTGTGAGTGGAATGGCATTACAGAGTGACGCCCGTCCCCGGGCTGCCGTACCTGCTCCTCGGCGGGAGGCTGCTGCGATCGCTCGCGCTCCTCCGGCGGCACGTTCAGCCTGGGGCGCAGCACGCGGCGGATCTCCTCCTCGTCGGCGAGCGAGGCGCCGCGCGGCCGGTGGGCGGCGCGGGCGGGCGCCTCGATGGAGCGGCGCCGCTCAAGCGCCTTCTGCGCCTCCTCCGCCGCCACCGCCTGGTAGAAGCGGGCCATGGCGCGCTCGTGCAGCAGCTCGGTGGAGCTGACGGCGTTGCGCAGCGGGCTGCCCAGCAGCGCGTCGCCCGAGCCCAGCTCCGGCGCCGACAGCGACAGCGGCGGCGCCACCGACTCTTGCAGCGAGTCTTGCCCGAAGTCCGGCATGGTCCGCGAGGGGCCTGCGCAGAAGCGTCGGCACACAGGAAATTGAAGCCCTTTTGTGACGGTTTCCAGTGATTTCTGTTGCTGTCGCATTTTATTTTCTCGCCGTACTTATAGTAACGTAGTAAAAAAGCATTTTAAAGCTATGGCAGAACCCAGCGGTTTATCGACAGGAGAACTCGTGTTGTGAGGTCCTCACATCGAAAAAGTGGATAATTCTTTTTCCCATATGTAGTTTGGTTTATGCATTTCCTCTAACACGTGTGGTCAGAATCCACATTTTAAGTCCCGCAAACCGTGAATTCTGAGGATACAACGTGTTACAGCAAGTATTTTCCTGAATATATAAACGAAATTTATACGATTTCTCGATAACAGGACATCATTGGTAGTTTTTCTATCGAAAAATAGCAGATTTTTCTTCTTTACTACGTACGTTCTACATAGTATCTCCTAAGCGAGAGAGTAAAAAATCAATAGACTTGATTTTCATGTTTTTAAAGCAATAATTCGTATATGAGTATATGTTTAAACTTGTTTTACCTCCATTGTTACTTTGTTTGTTTCCTTTACGTTGGTTTTGGAAACCTGTTTTACTTCCTTTCCAGCATAACATATTGAGTAGAAAATTTTAACTAAATCAACCTCAATTTGATATAACTTTACCTCGAAACACGGTTTTTGAACTTGATTCTGCGATATTCAATCATGTTCAAATTTTTTATGTTTCCAGCCAGTACCTAGTTATAAATGTTCTCTCTTTTGCGCATAGTCTACGTTGCTTTGACACAATCCAATGGACAGGGTGACCCCTAGCATACACCGACCTTCGATCTAGCTTTCCATTTCTGCTGTCCGGGTTGCTAGTTATCATTGGTTCATGTGAAAGTTGTGTTTGACTAAATTTTCCTACTCTGTTCATCATCATTCATACTTTATTGGCACTGTCTCCTAAGCAGAAATTTCATTCAATGATTCAATAATAATAATAATAATAATAATAATAATAATAATAATAATTTATAACCGAGGAATTATCACAGATAAAACCATCCATCATGGCAGACCAGACCTGACAACTTTTAAAGACACACGACAAAAGATAGGTTGCCTGATTGACATCACTGTTCCACAAACAGCACTTGCAAAAAATAACAAAGTACACAGAACTAGCAACACAAGTTCAGGCACAAAGACAACTCCATAGAGTTCATATAGTTCCTCTGCTCATTTCGTGCACAGAGGTTAAACCAAATAACATTCATAAAAATCTGGGACTTATTTAAATGCCAAAATATAGTACGTTACAAATGATACAAAAATCTATCATCTTAAATACAGGCACGAATGTGCGAAAGCTCCCAAATTACGACAAAACATGAATTTACCTATGTCTTCGTTATTAACCCGACACACAGTCACAAAATTCACAGAATATCGAGAAAAACAATTAATAATAATTGTGATAATAATAACAATAATATTAATAATAATGACGAAAAATAAAAAAAACAGGGATGTAAAATATAAAATTGTTTTGATATAGTGATGTAAAATGAAGTATAGCTTAGGAATGAAAAGGGTACAAACTTTTTCGCTGACACTCCATCTTGATCCATTTTAAGAATGATGTCATGATTATAATGAGCAAATGAAATGAACTCTAGAAAATTGGAGAGAACGTAAGTAACAAGGTGAAAATAACAAGAAACTCGTTTGGTCGTCTCAAAATTCCCTACGAATTTAATGGTTTTTAAAATTAGATCTTAGATTTTGTGCTTGATAATTAAATCACAACTGACCTCAAATGTAGTGAGTAAGAAAATAATTTGCCCATGAACTTGATGATATAATATTTAAAAAAAAAAATTAGGTATGCCAATTCTGTGAAATTTGAAAGCATAGTTTTTTAAACGTTGTTAACTGGCAATTAATCGTTTTTTATAAATTATACATCGTGTAATGTAATAAAAATTTGAATTTCGATTTATTAGATGAGAACACTAATTTTTAACAATCAATGATACCCTAAGAGATTTGTACTTACAATTAAAATAACAATGAACTATTTTATAAATATTAATATCTATAATAATAAAATTAACAATGTATTATAAATGTAAGTTTACTGTTAAAATGTGAAATGGAAAAATATCCAAAAATCATCACTGATCGAGTTTCTCTTAGGTCAAAAAAACATGACAATTTCCTACAACAAGGTAGGAAAACATCCAATAAAAACTGTACCTATGTAAAAGTGTCTCCCCAGTAATACCGTGCCCTCAGTATAATTATCTTCATAAATTTTGAAACAATTTCTGATGATTCATTGTTATTATCTTTCCAATTAGCATTTATTTATTGAATCGTATTCCTTGGTAACAGGAATAAAAATCGAATATCGGTAATAAAAACGAAAAACGATTACGGCAGTTAAAGTATGGACCATAACAACGTTTGCAGTTACATTTTGAGAATTATACAGTACCAAGAAAGTATCTGCAAGTCAAAATTTATATATATTTGTGATTAAATAGCATGGTATAAAATAGTTTAGTTTCTTTCTTCGTTCCGAGCAATTTTGTCATTTCCAGTGAGACTACGTGATTAAGTAACGTAGGGTTAACATTTCATTCCATTCAATAATGTTGTAACGTACAGTACGGTACTATACGTTGCTACATGATTAAATAATAATATAAAATATACATGTTTTGTATATATTGAATTTCATGTCTTGCAACTAATTTTCAGTTGTATCATTTAAGACCTACAAGTTAATCAGTGTTATCTAATATTGTAATGTAAACATTATTTACTTTAAAAATGATCATTTACAGTCTTCAAAATTAATTTACTTCGAAATCTGGACAAAAGGTAATAAATTATTTTACAGTTGATAAACGTTCATAGAATTGGCTGAGTTAGCTCAAAGACGGCATTGCCTTTGTCTCGCAGCAACTCTGACCGGCAGGTCCGAGGAAGGGTTCGAGACCCGACGTTGGCGAATTTTCGACACTAGGTGGAGAGCTGGTTCGAATTCAACCGCTGTCTGAAGAATTCAAGGGTCCGGCTGCTCCGAACTCGACCCTAACAAACAAGGAACGGACCGTACGCTCTCACGCACTGCACTAGAACTCACTTCGGGAGAATCCGAGAGCTTCAACCTTACCCCGGCTGAGCCGTTGCCCCGCCGTGGGAGATGCCTGTAGGGAAAATCTCCCGCGCGCCAAGGGTATGTTCGCGTAGGATCTTCCCAACCAGTCGGGAAGGAACGCGCCATCTTCAGCGAAGAAGTGTTCACTACACTAACAAATGACCTAATGACCACGACAGTGGACATGCCCGGATTCATCAATTAGTCGACATATTGAGGCGCTCAAAATTCTTTCTTTTTTAGCAGCTTTAATTGGAAGAAATGATACAGATTCTGGCGATTCTTTTTGAAGCTGTTGAATGTTACGATAAACCAAAAAACGGTTTTGACGGATGTGTGAAAGATCAATGAAAAGATTTGATGATGGAATAATGGTAGAATGTGAGTCAGGGGAAACAAAAGAATCCTGAGAAAACCTGTCGCAAATACACTTTGTTAGCCACATATTCCACACGGATCTACTGTAATATCAATCCTGTGCTCTGAAATCTTTGGATTTATATCCCTGGAATCTCAATCCCAGTGCCCTGGTAGTGGAAGGTGAGGGTCTGACCATTATACCACGGTTCACCCTTAACCAGGAGATTCGATGCGATTTGATAGTTATGTCGTGATTTAATCTACCTCTGGTCAACCCCTCGCTCGTGTCGACCCCACACGCAAACCCTCCCGCTGGTCGACATTAAGCGCGTACCTCACCCGCGGTGTTAACGCTATTTTCAATTTTCTTTCCTTCCAACCTCATTAAAAAGCGTCATTTGCCAGGGCACCCACCTTTTCCTCCTTCCTCGTCCTCTTCATCCCGCCCTCCATCGCCGTCCAGCGAGGACTGCGGCAGCAGCACGAGCATGAGCTCGGAGCTGCCGTGCATGATGGAGTCGTCCTCCTCGCGGGGCAGCAGGGGCGAGGTGGGGTGGAGGAGGCGCGCGTCGCCGCTGCCCCTGGGCCCGGCCCTCTGGCGCGCGGGCGGCTGCGGCTGCGGCTGCGGCTGCGGCAGCGCGGCGCGGCGGAGCGTCTTCGGAGGCACGGGCGGCGGCCGGTCGTCGCCCGCGCCCACCTCGACGCGCTCGAAGGAGATGACGGGCAGAGGCCTGTCCACCGCCTCCCACTCTTTGCTCCGGACGAGCCGCCGGTCCGGGCTCTTGGCCGCTACCTTGCGCTTGTCGCCGTCCGCTAGAGGCAGAGTGGCGGCCTTGTTGGAGAGGGGGCCGTCTGAACCTTTCTTGCGAGCTGGAGGTTCCATCAGGCTGCGCAAAACGCAATTTACACATGCTATTGTGCTGCTTATAAAATAATTTGTATTCGTATGGCAGAAATAATACCAGCAAACAGAAAAGAAAACACCCATCCTGGTTTGATAAGACGATTGTTTTGTTGGAATTGTAAAATAAAATTATTCAAACTATACCTTTACAACATCAAATTAAGAAAACAAACAATTTCAAATTGTGACAGAACACAATCGAATTGAGATTAAACACATTCATAATAAAATCTATCATCTTCAACTTGAGACTAAGCAATTTCAAATTGAATTCTATCTTCAGTTACGTTGTAAACTGCAAATTTGAGTCTGAACAATGTAAATAAATACAATAAAATGAAGAAATTGTGGACCCACTTCTTGGAACCAACTTTATTAACATTTTATTAATAAATTAAATTATATAATCAGCTTAATTTATGAAACGAACACATTACTCAAAATCAATTTTTTAACACAATTATAAGTTACATGACCATATCTTCCAAATTTAAGGCATCAGGAACGAATCGTTGGACATGAGCGACGTATCTTGCACAATCATTAGCATTCATTACTTGAATATTTTGTTTTTTAATATTTTCTAACTGACGAAGACGAAACTCAGTGTGCGATGTATTTACACCGTCTTCATCAGCAAAAATTTGAATTTTTGTACACAGATCTCGTTTAACAGCAGCCTTGAAACTACACCAAACATTTTTCATCGGATTGAACATTGGGCTGTAAGGACTGAGTCTTAGTAAGTGATAGTTGCTGAATTCTTCTTGTACGAATATTTCTTCCACACCACCGTGACAGGGAATTTTGTCAATTACTAACACAGCATAGAGTGGTACACGGATCATACAGCACGCATACATTGGCGCACAAATTCGTGAGCTTCCTCCTTTCTAAAAGCGCCTCTTCTAATTCGATGGTGCATCAGTCCCATAGCACGTATGCTACTTATGACCAGCACATTGGCTCCGCGGCTCCTCCTCTGTTAAGTAGCTGCATCGAGTTCCTTTTTTCGCTCGTCCTTTCTTCCTTGAAATAAATAAATTAAAAATTGTTTCGTCCATGTACAATATTCGGATGTTATCAGCCTGATAATTTAGAAGTGGCAGCACATACTCACGACGCTTTCTTTTGGTCCCAACACTTCATTTTTTCAGGTGCTACACGAATGTCTTGTATTGTGTATATCAAACCATCCAAATGTTTCCGCAAACATTGTGTGTAAACTATAATTTGTTTGTTTTGTTCCATTTTTAGTTTTAGATCTTTCAGTGTAATTCTTGAATTTTCTTTAATATATTTAATCATGAAGGCCCGTTGTTCCTCCGTAATTTTTATATTCCTCTTACTACCTCGTGGTTTTGAAAGTTTATCTTGATTTTTCAACCAACGATATGCGGTCGATTTTTTAACACCATGTGTATAAGCCAGACCTTTGCCATACCGTTATTATTATACACAACAAAATTTGCTGTTTTACACTTACAGCTTCCAATTTCTTTATGTACGGCATGCTAATCTCACGTATTGATCACTCGGAAAACACAATCGGTTATTCAATCAATTCTAAAACAATAACCGATTCGTCATGGTTTTTTCTCAGTTTGAAATTGTTTAGTCCCAAATTGAAAGTGACTGGTCTCAAAATGAATATGCGCATTCTCAATAAGGTGTTGCTTGGTATAAATGTAATTGTGTTTCTTCTCAATTTGAAGTTGAAAAGGTATAGTATAAATGACTATTTCGGTGAACTAATGCTAATTAATAGTACTAGCTGCCTGAGTAAAATAGTATACTACTTGGCCACTGGAGAATATCATTTCGTTGTCTGTAAATAAGAACAACTATTTGTTGCTCAAATCAGCTTACCAAGTTAAAAATCTCAACAATACAAAAAACATTTATGTACAGTGTACATAAATTATTTCTACTTATATAATTGAAATAGTTATTACTTTCTTTTGTTTTTGTTTGATATATCAAATAGTACGAAAAGTATTTTAAAAAGTAAAAATAATATGTTGATAAATTAATCATACTTTATATCAGACATTCCCTTAATGCACTATACAATGAAGTTCAATAAAATCAGTGACAAAATGAAGTAAAAATGTCTTACCCACGCCTTGGATCGGGGATGAACACAATTTCAGACTCATCACTAGGGTCGCTAACCCCATAAGGGTTTTCTGCCTTCACTCGAAATTTATATTCAGAACCCTCAATCAGATCTTCAAGAGTTGTAGAGAGTTGGCGACAAGTGGCTGCTTTCAACCACACGTTCCAACCAATCTGCAAATGAAGTTGTCCTCCAGATCATTGAAAGTATTATTATAACCCATCTCTGCTCTTCTGCGATCCATATGAATGTCAGCAAATTATTAATAAGTTAAATTTCATAACTTTGCCAATAATACGTTAGCTCTTGCTTATAATTAAACTTAATTTTTGCGAGGGTTTCTAACAAACCAATTTCAATAGCAACACAAAAGATCACGAGCCACAAAACATTTTGCATTTATTATACTAAAACCGCTCATTTAACCATTAAATCCACCTAACTAAGAGTTGCTATTCATTAAGAATTGTAGTAATTGACGTGAGAATAACATCAATACTTAACTTACAATAAAGATATTAAAATGTTATTAATCAAAGTAGGACCTTTGATTAGATCGCGTGTTAATTGCTAAAGGAGGGTCACAATACATTATCGCATATTTTATATATATTTTTTTAAATAGCTAAAATCTGAGTGGCATACTATAGGGAGAAGTTCATTCACAGATGAAATACAGTTTGACATTTGTAAATTGATAAGGAGTGATGGATATCGACATATCTGTTTATAAAGAGGACACGTTGAGAATAATTTTAAATGGTTGTGGAATGACAATGCTATTACGGAATAATACGAAAGGTTGATGATGTATTCGTTTCAATAAATTCTACACATTCTATGTACAATCATCAACACAAAATCATGTGATGCAATGTTTTCGAAATGTAGATGAGTGTGGTTTGTAGATGATTCAAAGAAACTAATTTGACAATGTTTTCCAAAAAATTACAAATGCGGAATAATAAAGTTATCAAAATTTCTAATACTCGTATGATACTATATAGGATGGAAATGTAAAACTTGAAAAAAATTGAACTGAAAAAAACTGTGCACAAATGTATTCCAGATCAGTAAATTTTGTATTTCATTATTTTGATGCAGGTAAATTAATGTTTGTTAGAAAATGATTGTAAAAAAGTACTTCGAGAATTTTGTTAAAATATATTTGGCCTATTTTATGATTTAATTGATGATGGAGGAAAATAATGACAAATAATTAACACAATAACACAGATAATATAGAGGCAAATTCTACTCAAGAAAAAGGCGGGAAAAGAAAAGAAAAGCTAATCTCAAAGGGCCAAAGATCTACATAAGGGAAAGCAATAGGAAGGAGTGGCTTAAGAAAAATCTGCTGTATTTAACACATATCTTATTCGTATATTTTCGTTCTTTTTTTAAAAAAGGTTTTAATTTGGAAACAGATACAAGTGGCCACTACAAGCACAAAAATGAAATAGTTGGAAGCTTCTCAATCTCTTCAAACTCGCAGAACTTGGAGTTTATAGAGTATTGTGGTGATAACTAGATAGAAGATTATTTCTTCATCTTCTTTATATTAAAAAAGTTGAAAACATCCCTTTAATATTCACATTGTAATATTGTTACATTAATTGGATTGAAATCATTAAAGAATAAAATATTCCATGACCTTCTAGATTCAATATTTTGAGCATCATCAAAATATTGCAATTTATATGTGGTCATCATTAGACCAAAATAGGAGTTTAGAAAGGAATTAATAAAAAAACACAAATTGTAATTTGGCCATTTTAACATAAGGGGTCTATTCAAAGAGAGGAATGCTAATTGCTTATTGAATTTCATGCAATAAATTTATTACTGAAGCTCAAGAATATTGAAAAAACTACCAAAATATTCTGAACTTGAGCACTACTGGCACTTCTGATTTTTGCTTCGAATACATTTAATACACACATGATCGGATATTACTATTCTGGAAAACGTTTTAAAATAGAATTTCAGTTTGCCAACATTCATACATGTTATTTTCTATATTAATAAAGATTTAAAAGTAGGCGTACCAATTCTATTTTTGCTTAAACTACCAAGTACTTATTGACACAAGTTCAAGAGCACATGAATATTTATTTCCTTATTGATATTGAATTGTATAGTTCAGACAATAACTTCCAATACTTCTTATTGTTAATTACAGCAGTTTACAGAGAGAAAGTGGCCTCAGAAAAATGTCACTTGTCTCCAACTGCCCTGGCCTAGATCACAAAATCCACGGCAAACTGCTTGTAAGTGATGTTACTCTGCTACAACTTCTACATTGATATTGTATTCTTTGAAATATATATCACCTGTATGATTCCTCTATGAAATTATTTTCATTCACAACTATTATTTAATATCTTGATAATTGTACGAGCTTTATTTCAAAAGCTTACCCTGTAGTACTCCACAATGTAATTTCCAATCTTGCAGCCACCATCGTCATTGGGTTCTGTCCATTCAAGGCTAACTGCACGACCTTGGGTAGCGACCACCTTTGCACGTCCAGGTGGCATGGGTCGATCTGAAAATTGGCATTAAATTTATTTATACACAAATATATTTTTAAATGTTATAGGGTCGGTATAGTTATATTATGAATTAGCTGAAGTAACCCTGCGCTGCTTGGGTATTTATACAAGCTAATTTCGGGGTATAGCTAAATTTTATGGATTTTGAGGTCGCGATCAATGTTTTTTCCCCCGACTTCTCAGAAAACGCCATGCGAAATTTGGGAGCAATCGCTTCAGTGGTTCAAACGTTATTGCACAAGAAACACATATACATATGTACATTTTTATGCATTAATATTCTTGTAACAAAATATATTATCAGCTGGAATCAACGTAACAATGTTCAATGTTCTTTTTATAAATTCTGTTACTTTTTCCGTTGCAACGCTCTCTTAACTGTTTACTGGCATAGAATGTAATCCTCCCTTACGATAGTCAGTTGTTGCCTTTTGCCCCTTCGGCCAAGGGCTCGGCACCTTTAGATCCCCGGGGTTCCCTGACGGTCACTCACCACTCACGGTCCCCTGGAGTGTCGAGTGGCGCATAGTTAAGCAATTCGGCTATCGACGCCGACATTACAATTCTAATTATCATATTGTAGGCAAATGGGAAATATATTAATCTACTAACTATCCTCTATTACATAAATTAACGAAAATTAGCTCGAACGAGGAAAGAGAAGGCAGGTTCTTTCAAGGACGTCATCCATTCACTTTCACTTCCACAAAATAGCCTATGAGATGTAACGAATTATTGTAAATCAGAAAATTTTTACCTTGAATTTCAAATGTAAATGTCACTGAATAAAAACGTATCAATAGCGAAATAAAGAGAAAATTATTGAAACAGAAGTGTGATTAAATTACACATTACACAAAGATTGTGTTACAAGAAACACTGTAATACAGTAATACACCAACAGTGTACTATACTGTAATTCAGTAATACAGCCTTTCCATGGAACCCTTAAAAACTTGCATTACAAGATCAGAACTTACAATTTATTTTAATCTTCCTTACGTGTCTATAGCAAGCTCACGAATTAACTTACATAGCAGGGTTAGTGATAGATTAGCACGTTAGATGACCTAGACATTAAAAAGACAAAGATACATCAAGGTTCAAAAGCAAGATTATAGATACTCCATGTCTTGATATTCCATTCCTTCCATGTGAACGCCATTGTGTCCCAATCCACATATTCTTTATTTTTTGAAGAAATAATAATAATAATAATAATAATAATAATAATAATAATGAGTCGCATATAAATATTATAGAGTTGCATATATAATTAAAATCGTGTATGACGAGTCAATATGTCTTGAGTAGAGAGATCGAAGTTACATTACTGGCCTAGGGATTATACAACAATACGTGCTACAGATGGATTAAGATATTATATAGAATATAATTATTTTTAGTAGCAGATAATTTAACATTTCACATTAAATACAATAACCTCTTAACCCATTGTCCCGTTCAATATATTTCCAACGATTTTGACTGCTCTGATTGGTCGTTTTCCGTCAGTCACATGTTGAGAGAACTGCCAAGTGTCCCTGTAAGGCCATGTTGGCACAGGAAGGCCAGTTTGAGGAGGGTGTCACAGTCTGGAATGGAAAGGAAGTTGGTCTGAAGAACGACACTTGATGCTAGAGTCCGTTCCACCATGACACAACGCACAACATTGGTGTCTTACGCATATGATAGAAACCCATTGCCTGAGTAAAACGCGTCCTTAGGCGCTGCTGTTCACTCCTGCACCGCCAGACAGACGAGGAATGGAAAGAACAACGTTGCGAGGTGATGAGTGATGTTTAGGTGAGCCCCGCCATGCCGCAGCACACAACATTCCTGATGCAACGCGTGCTTGCAACGCGTACAACGTGTTGCTTCCCCAGACCTCAGCCCCATCATGTCGGCAAGTAATGGAAGAATGAACGTTGGAAGATGATATGGGGGTTTGATAGCACATCATGTCACAATACACAGGCAAACACCCACGTCAAAATTTGAACCTCCAACTAACCAGTGACCGTTTAAGTGCTCCATATTTAACGACTATCCTTGCACTAAGAGCTAACCTCCTTACAGAGCTGTATAATCTCAACCAATACATCAAGGAACTTACTCGTTTTTCATGCCACTCACATGGAGTGTGTCCATTGTATAAGTCATTAAACTAACATTCAATATGTTTCGAAACCTCTATTCAGGGGTCTGCAGTGGGAACTGAATTATTGAATTGAATTATTGCCTTATTTTACGTGGCAAGCCTCGGGCCATCAATCCTCCGTCTGACGCCGCAAATTTCGCTACGCTCCTTTCACCAACTAGCAGAGGAAAGAGGTATTTCTTGGGCGAGAAACAGGCGATTTGAATTTAGCTCAGAGGCGTCATTTAGCCTTGAGGATCTTTTACATGCAAGTAAATTTACTAACATGGGACAGCCGGCTTTACTTCCCCTCCGAAGGAAGGCGTACGAAGGATTTTTTCGCCCTGAAAAATCCACGGCTTCGATCGGGTTTGTACCCGCCAACTTGGGTACAAGAGTTCAGTACGCTAACCGTGACATCATCGCCGTTTTGAAACGGTAGGCATATGCGAGCAAGGTTAATTTTCTTTTTTCAAATTAAAAAATATCAACTTCATAGTTGACGATATAATAATCGATGTTTTCCGGCGAGAGAACGGCTATGTTCATTAGTCTGTAAGTGTAGTGTATGTTTCTATCACGGGATGAAGTTTGCAGTGTTCTTCTCTCGCTAGGTGGTCTGACTCACGTCGGCTCGCGGTGTATTTTCCACCAGCGGAGCGTCCCCTTCCGGTACAAACTCTAAGCAGCCGACTGGCCTCCACAGGTGCGGTAGTGTAATTGTGTGAAGTCAGGAGTGACGAAAGGACAAGGAAGTGGAAAAAAAAATTGCGAACAGTCCGTGGTTTTTCTGTTTGGGTACTGCTTCTGCATTCGCCCCGTATTTATCGAAGAAACCACAAAACAATTCCGATGTGAGCAGCCGGCCGCTAGAATTCTGCTCCAGATAGCGACTTAGCCGTGTAGATAGGATCCAAATCCTCCCACCCTCGGGACTCGCACCATGGGCGCTGTGCGCCGCGAGCGGATGAGTTGCAGCTCACCTGTGACGGTGACGAGGAAGGCGGCGGCGTCCTCGCCCAGGCGGCTGGTGGCGCGCACCTGGTACTCGCCGCGGTCTGCGCGCCGCGCCTCCGACACCCTCAGCGCCGACGCGCGCTCCGTGTTGGTCACCTCGTAGCGGCCGCCGAACGGAAGGGGCTCCCCGTTGTGCAGCCACGTGACGCGCGGCAGCGGCCGCCCGGCCACCGACACCTTCAGGCGGATCAGCTCGCCCATCTCGAACAGCAGCCCGTCCTCGTACTGGCGCGGCAGGCGCACGCGCGGCGGCGCTGCGGGGCAAAGCGAGCGCTCGTCAACACATAATCATAACACCAAGAGGAAGGGGAATACCAGATTAGAGCAATTAACTCCTGGGTAATTCATACACTTTCCTATTCTTTCGAAATTCACAAGTGGCCGTGTGTATATCTTGCCGAATTAAATAGATTGACTAGAACACTGATAAATTTAGGTGTCTTCCTACAAACTCGTCTATTAAAAGATCATATCTGCCCCGAAGAGGAGGAAAAGGGCTGCTAAACATTGAAACTCTGTGCAGGAACGAAGAAAGAAAAATGAAGCAAACGTTACTCTCGTTTGAAAATGCCTTCATGAAAATGGCTGTACAAGCAGATGATGGTTATACTTTACTCAACGTGTGTGTCTTTCACACAGGAACAACACCAAAAGAGACAATTCAAAGAGATCTAGAAGTGGCAAATTTCCTAAAGCTATCCATGAACCTCATGTTGAAACACAAAAAGCTGCAAAGACTATCAGACGGCTGTTTATACCCAAACACAGAGGGATTTAGCAATTCAAGATAGAGTATACCGAACTACGAGAAACATTGCATGGGTATGCCCATAGTTGACAAATGCACGAAATGCGGCACCAGTGGTGAAATAATCGAACATATAAAGGCTTGATGTACTGCGAACAGCGCCGACAGCGAATATTTGGGAAGACAACCAAGTAGCCAAGATTGTCTATTAACAATTCTCTCTGAAAATTGGAATGTTAAATAGGGATATGGAGCTAACAGATAAAAATGTGGCCTTCAATAGACCTGATTAACAGGGACAAGAAAGACCACCTAAAGATTGCAAGTGATGATTGCAACAAGTAAAATTACAAAACCACGGCCTGGGAATCGCTAGGGCCCGTCTGGAACCGGTGCTGGCCGTGGAAGCATGCGAACCACCGCTGAAGAGCGGACGCCACCGGGTCACCCGAAAACACTACAGCCGACACTCAAGGAAGCATCAACGACCTCCAAGCTCCGCCTTAAGGACAGTGATTTGAGGGAGAGTCAACCCTCAATCACCAAGGCAGGAAAAGGAAGACAGCGCTTCACGTGGGCTATTGACATAAATACATTCATTATGTGCACTTACTATAATATGATAAAACTTGAAACGGGCTTGACAATGTAAAGGCATAAGCTATATTAACAATTCAGAATACATACCCAGAATTAAAAGTTAGAGAACAAAGAATCGCTGAACAAGTTTGCCATACCAAATAATCTTATGCATCGTCCCATCCTTACAGATGTACACACGGCAGTTTATTGTGGTGCAATAATAGCAGTCAGATCAAACGGCTCCCACGCCAAAGAATGCACACAAGAGAGAAAGGTGCAAAGAAAACCAAAATAGAAACAACGTATAGATAAATAGTATAATTAACATCAATAAAGACTTGGGGAGACTAACACAATACAAACAAAGCAATAGAAGTAAGAGCATAGTTTAATACGCTGCAAGTATCTTAAAAAAATCAAAACGCATACAAAACATGAAAGCTATAATCAACATGTAGATGAATACATTAACACTTTGCAATAAAAACTCCGTGCATATTGCCGTCTCCGAAGCTACGAAGAGGGCGCAGCGCGCAGAAAGCATAACTCTCTTTTCGACACCAATGATCAGATGGTCTACAAATACCTTAGAGAAAGAAGGCATCCAGACACACATAATGGAATAGCCACTAAGGATGAAATAAGGAAGGCTTCCTGGTCGTCATTCTGGTCCACAGATCTTCATCATGGCAATAGTGCTCCATGGAGAGCTGACGAAGAAACAAATGGAATTCACAGGTCTCACGGCGAAAAATATCACCATAATTGGAAAGCAACAGGTGTTGATTACATTCACAACTATTGGTACAAAACATTCACATCAACACATCATCTTCATCTCAACTTCCGAGGTGCATGGAAGCTGGGATGTCTTCACGACCAAGTAATACGGTCGTATTTACTTGGAAAGTGACGACTGGGGGAAGAAGCAACAATGGCGCCAAGGGCAGTGATGGTTGCTAAAAAGGGAGCGATGCGTTTGGTGACTGCGGGGGAGGTGACGGCCGTGACCGCGGCACAGGAATCTAGGATGCATGCACGGGTCCCAAATACTGACATTCAGGTGAGGAGAGGCTTCGCTAGATTGTTGCAGGTGAACTGTCGTAGTATCATGAATAAGGAATCCGAATTTTGGAATTTAATTGAAGCATGTGATCCTGATGTCATAATAGGAACAGAGTCTTGGCTTTCGGACGCGGTAGCAATCCGGAAATTTTTCGTTCAGACTACATTACGTTTAGGAGAGATCGCGAAACTAGAGGCGGTGGTGTATTTATATGCGTTAAAACACATTTAATATCAGATCAAATTGGGTTGAAAAAGAATTTGAAATGACGGGTGTAGAAATTTTCTGTTCAGGAAGTATCTTAGAAATTATTGCTTGCTATCGTCCACCGGGCAAGAGCTATGAAATTTTAGGCGCTCTCTACGAGAAAACAAAAAAATATAAATAACCGTCATGTAGTTATTGCTGGAGACTTAAATCTCCCAGAAGCAAATTGGAAGGGGATTGTTTGCGAAGGCAAGTCCAACAACTAGTCAACCGACTTGTCTGGGACAGCGGATTAGAGCAGGTATTAGACAGGCCGACACGGCAGGATGCGATTCTGGATATCTGCCTAATTAGACCGGAAGATTTATTCTTGTCGTCGAAAAGTATTACCACCGGTATTCTAGAGAAGGAATACAAGAAAGCGAATGTACTAGGGTTTCAAAATTACTTAAGAGAACGATATGGCGAGTTTCTTAGAATAGGAGGAGGAATCGATGAAATATGGGAAGAGTTTAAAAATATTTTAGTAAATGCTGAGCAGGCTTTTGTACCCAGTAAATTGTTAAAAAGTAACAGCGATCCGGAATATTATAATGCAATGATTAGGCAATTGAAAAGAAAAACCAGAGAAGCATTTAACAACAGACACCGTAGTGAAAATCATATGGCCTTATTTCAAAATTATACAAAACATTAATGAAGGAAAATAAAATGGCATAGGAACGTCATTTAAAACATTGATTCGGAGGGCAGTAATACTTGATCGGTATTTCTTAAATACGTTCGTAGAAGGAAAGGAAGTAAAGACGAGATTCCAGTTGTTCGTGTTGATAATTCGCCAATAACGGACCTCAGGGAAAAAGCGCGGGCTTTTAAAGCATATTTCAGCTCGGTTTTCAAGCAGAAGTCTAACTATTCAGATACCAACGCTGGTAGATACAAGTAGATTTCATATTGATGTAAATACTTTGCGGGAAAGAATAAAATTAATGAAGAGATGAAAATCACGAGGTCCTGATGGTATTTCCACGGACATCATTAAATTAGGCAGAGAGGCAATTCTACCTTATTTAATTAGGTTATTTAATGTATCAATAAACAACGCTTGCGTACCGGAAGATTGGAAGAACGCTCCTCGAGTGCCTATTTTTAAACGTGGGACCAAGACAATATTAGTACTATACGCCGGCTAAGCCCTTACATCAGTCGTATGCAAACTTTATGGAACATCTAAATTTCAAGCTATATCGGAAAGAATGGGAGGGCAGGAGTGCTTGTATCAGGCAGATCAATCACGGTTTCAGAAATGGTTTCTCATGCGAAATCCGCTTAGTCTCACTTCTACGGACCTAAGCCGAGGTAAAGTTGAAAGGGAAAAGGGTTCGACGCGATAGTAATAGATTTTGTCGCAAAAGACTTTGATGTTTCCACACGATCGTCTTATACAAGAAATTAATAGATTCGGCGTATAGACACACTAGAAGTGGTAGCGTGGCATAAACGAACTACTCGAAATAGCGAAACAGAAAGTTCGAATCGGTAGTTGCTTATGACCTCGAGAAGCGTCACGTCAGAAAATTCCACAAGGAAGTGTAATCGGACCACTCAATGAATCTGGCCTTCGTTGAGAATGGAATTGGCCGACTAATTTAGCTTCAAAATGTACGATCTTGCAGATGACTGCGGAATCTATAGGATTTATCAACTCGGAGAAAGACGAGGGATATTTTGCCAGCGAAGACTTAGACCAAATTACATCTCTGGGCAGAAACAAACGGCATGCAAATAAACAGTTCAAGAGCAATCCATCACGTTGGTAGGGCGTCGAAGTTACAATGAATCTGTAACAAACTGAACAATAATGTTATACCTCGAGGTCACGACGTCTTGCAAATACTTGTGAGGAATACAGCTCAGACAGTAAAACTGAGCTGGGAAAATCAAGTCAATTTTGTTGTAGGAAAGCCTGGAAATCTTTACATTTTGTTATGCGGATACTGAAAAAGAGTACAGGTGAGAGCCAAAGAACTAGCATAATATGTCATTAGTGCGACCTATATGTAGAATATGGGCGCGGGGTATGTGGGAACCATACAGACTTTTGCAACAAAGAAAATCATAGAAAAAGTCGAGCCTAGAGCCAATCAAAATTTACTTTCAGTGGGTACCAAGAATAAAGGGGTATGGGAGTCTCGAAAGGAGAGAGTTTAATTCACGCCTCTATGCAATGTATAAAGCGTACACAGGCCTTCGAGCGTGGAAAGAAATTCAAAGTCGATTAGGGAAACTAACATATTTCGGCAGAGCGGATCCACATGCCAAAGATATTCAGACAAGAATCAGAAACGGACGTTGGGCAAACATTCATTAGCGAATGCACCATTACGGGACTGGAAACAGTTTGCGCTTGACAATCTTCGATCCTTTCCTCAAAGCTGAGCAGCAATTTTAAAAATAATTAGTTCTTTAATGTGGATAGCTTATAAAATATTTAATAGAAATTGCAGTGCTATTACCTGTGTCTTTCTTTGTAATTAAGTATTATTATTATTGTTATTATTATGTTGTTATCATTATTAAATCATTATTATTGTTATTATTATTAATGTGTAGAATTATTATTTTTATTCATTGCTTATGTGCAGTGCAGTTGGCGTGAAGATTGCAGTGGACGTTGTTAAAATCTGTGAAATCGCAGTGCGGTAAGTGTGGTGAAGTGAAGTTTGTGAAGTGGAGTTCTTATGAAAGATTACACGGTGAAATGTTCATGTGATTTTGTAAGTGTAGAAGTTTTGTTTATACTATCTACACTCTATTCTAATCTAATATCGTACATCTATATCTATATCTACAATCTATATCTTACAATCTACATCTACTCTAATCTAGCATCTAATCTAGAAATCTACATTCTACATCTACATCTACATCTACATCTACATCTACATTCGTCATCTACATGTACATCTACTATCTACATCTACATTACATCTTGAATCATCTACATCTACAAGTCTACATTACTCTACATTCTACAGGTCTAATCTACTCATCTACAATTACATCTACGATCTACATCTACATCTACATCTCTACAATCTAACATCTACATCTACATTAATCGGCTGACTCTAATCTACATCTACATCTACGATGCTACATATACTACTAATACTATACGTATTTAGAGATCTACTCTAACCATCTAACAGGCTACTATCTAGATGATCATCATACAGTCTGATTACATCTAGCATCTAGACTATCTAGCAATCTGACGATCTAGTGCATCTCTCACATTTACTACTCATCTACAAGTTTACGATGCTACATCTACAGTGCTACAAGTCTACATCTACATGAGGTCATCTACATAGGTGCTCAGTGCGGTACATCTTCGTTAGAGAGCTCTACATCTACTGATCTAACTCCAGTGAAGCTCGAATTCTCTCGAGTTCGTATATGAGCTCTCACTCTAATACATTCCCTGAGAGAGTGGCAAGTAATCTCTACACTCTCCACTCACTCTTTACATCTACATCTACATCTACTGATACTACATCTACATCTACATCTACATCTTCATCTACATCTACATCGCACATCTACATTCTAAATCCTACATCTACATCTACATCTACATCTACATCTACATCTACATCTACATCTTACATCTACATCTACATCTACATCTACATCTACATCTACATCACATCTACATCTACATCTCATCTACATCTACATCTACATGCTAATCTCCATCTACATCTACATCTACATCTACATTAATCTTACATCTACATCTACATTACATCTACATCTACATCTACATCTACATCTACATCTACATCCTAACATCTACAGTCTACATCTAACTCTACATCTACATCTACATCTACATCTTACATCCTACATCTACATCTACATCTACATCTAACATCTTACATCTACTCTACATCTAACATCTACATCTACATCTACATCTACATCTCCATCTACATCTACATCTACACTACATCTACTCTACTCTCATCTATCTACATCTACATCTACATCTCCATCTACATCTACATCTACCACTCTATCTCATCACACATCTACATCTACATTACATCTACATTACATCTACATCTACATCTACATCTCACATCTACATTACTCTACATACATCTACATCTACATCTACTCTCATCTACATCTACATCTACATCTACATCTAATCATTAACATCTACATCTACATCTACATCTACATCTACATCTACATCTACATCTACATCTACATTACATCTCTACATCTACATCTACATCTACATCTAACATCTACATCTACAGCTACCATCTACATCTACATCTACATCTATCATCTACATCTACATCTACATCTACATCTACATCTACATCTACATCTACATCTACATCTACATCTACATCTACAATCTACATCTACATCTACATCTACATCTACATCTACATCTACATCTACATCTACATCTACATCTACATCTACATCTACATCTACATCTACATCTACATCTACATCTACATCTACATCTACATCTACATCTAATTACCATCTACATCTACATCTAATCTACATCTACATCTACATCTAATTATCTAACATCTACATCTACTCTATCTACATTACATACATCTACATCTATCACATCTACATCTACATCTACATTAACTACATCTACCATCTACATCTACATCTACCAATCTACCATCTCTTACATCTACATCTACATCTATACATCTACATCTACATCTACATCTAACTATCTACACTATCTACATCTAGCATCTACATCTACATCTACTCTACATCTACATTCTACATCTACATCTACACAACATCTACATAATCTACATCTACATCTATTACACAAAATCTACATCTACATCTACATCCATAATCTTCTACCAACATACTGACTACATTCTCCATTCTATCTCTATATCTATATCTATATCTATATCTATATCTATATCTATATCTATATCTATATCTATATCTATAAGTCATTGTGGAAAATGAAGAGGAAAGTAAAATATTCCGAAACATTGGCAACATGAAATAAGTAAATATATTGAAATTAATAGTGACCAAATCTCATGATCCGGAACAATCATCATTTTACCTTATTATAATGCATGGTGACTTATTTATATGTATAAATATATGTATTGTCAAGCATTTATTCTAGTTATTAATGAATTCATGAAACACGCGTTTTTTCCTAATAGCTACGTCAGTTTGTACTTTCCCACGTACGATTGTATATACAGAGTAATATACGTACGAGTATGTATATACGAAGTAATATATGCAGTATAGGGAAAGTTTTGTGATGCTGCGGAAAATCTATTTCGAGATTTAGGCGGAAACACAGGGTTTGAAGTTCCCTGATACCGCAAAACGTTTTTTCAAAACGTCCGTCTTTCCGTCCGGCCATCTGGTGACCAGTCTTTTACCAATTGTTGAAACCCGTGTCGATCTGACTCGAGTTGAATGATTGAGATTTTGAAAAAAATATTCACAATTTGTGTGTACTATATATGAACCCACCCGGACAATTTCAAAATTTTCTCACAAATGGTTCAGAATATTTTCTTTACATTATTGTAAGAATAAAGTAAAATACACTTATAAAGATGGAATAGATCTAATTGACACTAAATTTTCGAAAATTTCAAAATGTCTAAAATTTTCTGGCGTCTCCCTTCAACTACAAAATTAAAGATAAAGATGTTTTTCTTCAAATACAATTTGTTCTCCATAGTGAGTTTTTCATCAAATTCAACTACATTTTTTGATAATGTTAGTAGTGTTCACGCAATATTGCGTGAAATGTGTGCAATTAAAAAAAATACAAAAGCAAGATTTTCGCAAAAAAAGGATCCAAATGTTTTCTTTCAAAATTTCGTACGGATTCTATTAAATGTACTCTACCAGATGAAATAAACATCATTTTGCTTAATTTTCTTTTGAAAAAATACCAAAACGTAATTTTTTGACTTGCTTCTCATGTCAATGTTTATACTAGTGGCAATTTGTACACATTATTGTAGTTATGAGTACATGTGCTTTAAATAATGACAGGTAAAGTATCTCGATAAGTGTTTTCTGGGAAAACTAGCTCAAAAGTCTGCATTTTCAGAAACGCTCAAATGCTATTTGCTCAAAAACCGCTCCAAATTTTGTTCTTCAAACATTTCGAACAGATAGCGGTAATTGTACTAATATGACGAAAAGTAAATTTCGGTGTATTTTTTGTTTTCAAAAGTGACAGAAACGTAATTTATTTAAAAGATCACCATGTTGATATGCACAGTTCCAGCAATTTGTAAACACTATAGTATTTGTGAGTTAATGGACAAAAATGTCTTCAACTTAGGTTTTTTGAAAAGTTAAAAATTTTCCGTGAAAAAAATTCTTCAAATTTCAAATTTACTCCAGCGCTCAAACGCCAGTTTTTTAAAAACGGCTCCCAATTTGTCAAAAAAAATTGTCGTTTAGGATGAGGTTTTACTTCTCTTTAATAATCTTGAAATAATAATAATAATATAATATAACAATTAGGAAACCGAAAAATGAAGAAAAGTCAAAAAATGTACTTTTAGAGGCGACAGATGGCAGTTGGCAAGAGTATTGGCAAGTTCGAATAGCTAACCCAAACCAAAGGAAATAGAAAGCTAATACGGGAAAGTCTGTGCCATTCTGTAGTACCTCTAGTTACAGTTATGGCCATGCTCTCTTGAACGCCCAAACTATTGCGTCCCCACACGAGGAGTGGAATGCAGAATGCGCCTGCCCACCAACGGCATTTTACAGACCAACTGACGCCACTGTTAGCTCAGCAAGAGCTCAAGTAGTATTATGGCTTCGTCAATCCAAGTCTGCAAGTTCAAGGTGGATTTTTGAAGGTCATAAACTTCTCCGTGTGCCATGACACACGTTTGGCATGACGCCCTGTAAAATTAAAGCCTCCGCCAACTCTCGTCTTAATCATATCCAATTTTCTATGAACCAGAGAATGGCCCAAGTAACGGATGAATATGACTGAGTCTATTGTGAATGTCCCTGGTGGTGAACAATGCTAGTTAAATCTAGTAAGTAGCATTTGGCGGTGATGTGGGTGTTTCGAATGCGAAATTGCACGTTTCAGCCCATGGCGCGGGTGAATAAACCATGAGTTGTGAGAGCCTGGACATCATAGTCCCATTTAAATGTAGTGTGTAATCAAGGTCACGTGCAAGAAGGAGAGGGAGACCTTGCCACAATATCAGCAGTTATGTTACGACTTAATTATTTGATACGGAAGCATCTGTTTGGGAAAGAGTGTCTCCCTCTTCTTCCAGCGCGAGATCTTGAGAAGCCATATCAATCGAACAATAGACGACGACAATTACAACAGAAACTTTCCTATTGTATATGTTTGAGCAAATACCTTCCAGGCGCAGTTTGGCCTTGGTGACGACGTGGCCGACGCGGTTGGTGGCCGTGCACTTAATGTCGCCCTCGTCGCTGAAGCCGCTCTGGTAGATGATGAGCGAGCTCTGGTCGCCTTCGGTGAGCACCCGCATGCGCCGGCTGCTGAAGATCTCGAAGCCGTCTTTGTACCAGGCGACCTTCGGCGCTGGCGTGCCCCGGAACACCACACGGAACTCCGCCTGCAAGCAGCAGCACGCAAGAAGTCCTCTGACACTCTGTCCTAACCTGATCCAGGACTTGTTTAGCCGCGAAATGGCTTAAGTAACGGATAAATATTACCCAGCCCTATGTTGTGAATATGGGGGTGAATATGGGGGTCAGAATTTGCAGGCCACACCCTGAGACATATTTAATGGTTTCATACTTCAAAATGTATGCTGAGGGATTCCATTTTATCACAGTATTTTTTAATAAATTTACTAAATAGAAAATAGGATTTTGGTCCGGATGGCCGAGATCGCTAGGGCAGTAGTGCCGTAGCGATCTCGAACCGAAGGGTCGTCACGGTTGTATTGTGTTCGTCCTTTCACACCCATATCATCATCATATTGTGTCATACTCATGGTTACCATACCGTTACACGCAATAGTGTTCGCTAATGACCTACTAGTTGATGCGACCTTATATAAGAGAAAAATAGGATTTTATATAGGATTATTGAGTAACCGATATCATTGGTTACTCAATAATCATCATAGATGATTACTCATAGATGCCATATATCAACATTGGTACCATAACAAGTGGAAGAAAAAATATTAAGAGATTAAGTCAAAAAAGGAAATTAATTGCGGTAGAAGAAAATGATAACCTGCACTACATGAAAGTAATAAAACTATTATATATATATATATATTATAATTATATAGGGAATCGAATGAGAGCGTAGGCTCCCGCGGCCGGATCAGTATTTAATTGGCTGTCCGTGTGACGCCGCGTCCATGGCGAAGTTGCCGACGTTTCGGTCGCCATTCTGCGACCTTCCTCAGGGCGTAATACCGGAGGAAGGTCGCAGAATGGCGATCGAAACGTCGGCAACTTCGCCATGGACGCGGCGTCACCCAGACAGCCTAGTAAATACTAAGGGAATCGAGTTTTTGCTTCATTACGGACATCTCTCATCGCTAGCAACCTGTCGCTAAAAATGTTATGAATCAATGAATCAGAGATCTGCAACCTTCATTTGCTGTCATAAAACTAGTGAAAACTAAAAACATTAATTAAAAGAGAGTTAAATGTAGCACTTTCTTTATATTATGTTATCCAGACGGGCATCCCGCGAGTCTGACAGCGAAGGAGCAGTATTTATAATCATAAAATGAAACCGTTTCCAAGTTGTACATGCATGGCATGAACTCAAATGTTTCTCCTCTTACGTGAAATTGTGCTTCAGTAAGATCAGTGAACAAGTGTTAGAGCGTCTCACTGAATATTAGATTATTTAAAATATTCGAGTATCGCTAGTATAGTCATTTTGTTGAGACAATTCTGCTCGATGGTAAATAAAAAATAATTCTTTCTTTTTTCTCAGATATCAACCCCTTTGTCTTCAGATTCTATCTTTTCTACGGGTGAGGTACTTCGAATTCGCACCAGCTTTTATATATACTGGTAGTTGCAAGTTGCAATGTCATTTTTTTTCGAAAACGATTATATCCGACGTCCGCAAGTAATTTATCAGATGGAACATCGTAAATGACTCGATATTACCTACCAAATGGCACATAAAATTTTGCTGAACTATATGCAAATTAGGAAGTAAACAATCCACTTTGACTCACCCATTACAAGGCACATATTGTAATGTCTCGGAGATATAACGGCTGTATATCAAATCTTGGACGCCTGTCGGATCTTTTCTAAAGCAATAGAGGATAGACCATATGAGAATTTGAGATAAGGTCACCCGGACCTGAGTGAGGGAACTGGTTGGTAAAGGAGGAATCACGCACGGCTCATGATCAGTTCTTTGTTCCGGCATTCGACCGGAAGATATAGGAGGATACCTCAGAAAATACGGACAAGTGCCGCCGTCCTCTACTCTTCTCAACCATGGTGCAAGTGGCATTGTAGGAGAGTGGCATTCTCGTGATGTTTAAAGACAATTAAAACACTCATTTATTGAAAGCAAATATTTTATTATAATCAAATGCACTATCTAAAATATTTCTATTTTAAATAAACGAGTCTTCAAAATGTCTTCATTGTCTTTCAATATGTCTTGACGATACCACAAAATATCTTACACACATACGTTACATTACATATTATATACGTTTCATATACACTATCATTGATTAGTATAAATTACATTGGTCGTCTTCAACTATTTAGCTGGTATGGAAACCTCACACACTGACCGAACCCGAGCCAACAACATCCGGTCTTCATAGCTTCACATGGGTCACTAGTACATGGGCTAACTCGACATGTAAATAAACACATTTAAGCGATTTTGAGATGGAAATAAGCCCACAGCAGTGACGCGGAGGGTAATGTTAATGACGCCGCCGCACTTAAGTAGATACATATCACACGAGCTCGCTACAATGAACGAAAGAAGAAGTCATTTGATTGACTGGCAACGACTCAATGCACTCCGTACTGAAACATACGCAAAGTTGTTATGTTCTCCGCATATACTGTTTATGTTTCTGTTCAAAGACCAATCAAACTTTAAAACTGATATAAAGCTGCATGCGAGTTTAAACATTAAGATAGTGAGCCTCAAAATAAATTACAGTAATCAATTAACTAATTAATTAAATGGTCGCTAAAGCAGTAGTGCCGTGGCGATCTCTGTCTTTGGGTCGTGGGTTCAAAACCCGCCTCGGGCATGAAGGCGTGCGTTTCGTGATTGTGCGAGTTGTCTGTGTGTAGTGTACTTGTGTGTGTCCCACGAGTGTCTCCATAAGAGAGAGAGAGAGAGTCCACCTACCGTCTCGTTCTCGAGCGCGACGACATCGCGCAGCTCCTGGACGAAGTGCGGAGCGGCGCTGGTGGAGCGGTGGAGCGTGACGGTGAGCGGCTCGGAGACGTCGCCGGGCTCCGACAGCCCCACGGCGTTCTGCGCGCTCACGCGGAACTGGTACCGCCAGCCGGGCTCCAGCCCCGACAGCGTCAGCTCCGGCAGCGGCACGAGCGACGGCGTGGCGCGCACCCAGTGCGGCGAGCCCGTGCGCCGGTGCTCCACCAAGTAGCCTGCGGAAGACGCGGCGTCAGCGTCACGTCACGCGAGCTCACTCGCTCACGTTTCGATAGTGTAGTGAATAGTGTATCCCGGGTTCCAGGCCCGCACTAGAGAGATCCGTCGGCGACAGACACAGCGGTTTGCTGAGGATTTCCTCCAGCGAGACACCACCCCGGCTGGGACAAGCTATAAGCGCCCACTGGTCTCTCGACATGTGTGCTAATGAAGTGCTGTGCATGAAGAGCAAGGGAGAGGAAGAGTGCAGGCTTCCGCGGCCGGAGTCAGTATTTATTTGGCTGTCCGGGTGACGCCGCGACCATGGTGGAGGTGCCGACGTTTCGGTCGCCATTCTGCGACCTTCCTCAGGGCGTAAAACTAAGGGAGAGGAAGGCAAGTTCGCGCGCAGTCAGTCCTCGTATCGAAAATTCACCGCGGGTGGGACTCGAACCTTAGCACCTCAGGACGGAATCTCTACTGAGTCTGGGTCGTTGTGCCGATAGCGAGGCCGCGAATTTCTGTAACGTATGAAAGCGAATGTAGTAAACTCTTTTGTGCGAACATATATGCGGAGGTACCAACGGAAAACTGGTGAACATGCAAGGGATCGTGATGAACATGCGAGGGAGCGTGTGGAACAAATACGAGGGCACATGCTGCGAACACTTGAAGGATATGTGTCGGGAAGCCCGTACGAAAACATGTGGATAGCAGAATGAGGGCGAGTCTCTGCTACCACTACTCCGTAGAAGGGTGGTCAAAAATGAGCACAGACTAGAACTCTATGTGACAATGAATTGTCGCCATAACGGCCTTTCACAAGGGGTCTACGATCAGTTCAAGTTCTGGCCTAAGCTGGTGTCCAGAATGAAACTATTTTCACTTCTAAAATAATGATTTGCAAAATACGGAATGTTTGCACGAGTTTTTTAATTGCTATTATTATTATTATTATTATTATTATTATTATTATTATTATTATTGTTGTTGTTGTTGTTGTTATTAATACAATTTATTGTTGCAAAATCAGTAAATATTTTAAAAAATTTTGTTTGAGAAAATACACGTTACAATTAAAGATTTTCTGATTTCCAAAAATTCATTTTAACATATTTTTAAACGTATAACTTCTTTGGAAATGACAGCATCGATTTATCTTATGTTATTTCTTCTATCCTATACTGTAAGGCGAAACCAATGCAACCCACTCAACGGCTTCGTCTAGCGGGCTGCATCAAGAAGGGCATCTTTCACTCGTTTGTCATGAATTTCGAATATCATATCAACGAACGAGTCAAGTCATCCGATTTCGTGCTTCTGCAATACTTCAGTTTTGTTTATTACTATAAATTTTATCTTAGTTTAATTAATGTGTACAAACGTCAATAATTTGTGATTTTCCCTATTTTTTTAATGATTTCAAAAATGTTTACCCCGACACATTAGACAGGAACGCGCAAATGTGTTGAATTCCTTTTCGATTATTTAGAAAAAATACTCGAGGAAATATACTTTACATTAATTATTTATACATTAACTAAATCATTAAGGCATAATTTATTTATTATCTATATGCACATTTTCGCCCTTATCCTTTCTCATGCCTCCCGTGAAGACATCGACTCACGACCGGAAGAAACTTATTATTTGATGGTGCTGCTGAGACACTACATAAACTAACCACTAACACCCCCAAAAGGCTCGATAAAACGTGCGCATAAACTGAATCTAAATTTACTACTTAGAAGAAAAAAGGAACCGTCTCAGCATTTGCTCAATGGCTCAAGGGAAACAGGATGAAAAACATGATCAACAAATCCAGAAATCACATCAACAAATTGAAGTGCAATACTGCTACAGGAATATATAGTCTTCGAGAATTTTACATGGCTTTAAATTATAGAATAGAAGGAAAGAGGGTCCGGGACAGACCGACAAGGTGGAATTAACCTGAACACTTCAACAGATGAAGTAATATTGGGTATTACCCATTGTTAGGATTGGAACAACGCACCTGAATAGATTGTGATTATCATAATGATGATAATTGTTCTGTACAAATGAGCTTGGTACTAACGCGTTAATATCATATTTGAAATAAAGATTATTTTCGTTTTTAATGCTCAATACATTCTCTCTCTGTATAATCATGTGTACAAAAGGGTCAGAATAAATTATACAAATTTCTATATTATTCAAGGGTGATCGAAGAAAAACCACTTTCTGTGAAAAAACATGGTGGTAAATATCATATAAAGAAGCTACACGTGATTATGCCCCTGACTGGTAGACAACTAATTTTGCACTGGGGTTTGGTAGATACACGTTATGACGCAGTCAAACAGATTTAGCGTACCAGCCAAACACTAACATAAAAAGAGTTGTGTGCGAGTCAAGGGCAAATGATGCATGTGAAAGATTGTTACATGGAACTATCTCGTGTTCATTGGAAAAATATCATTTTTGACGTGCTTACATGCCCTAGTCAAGGGGCGGGAGCGGTATCGCCCTCTCAGATTTCATATTCCTCCAGTTCCGGCGGTACCGCTGCTCAAGGCCAAGTGCGGGTGGGCAGTCGAGGTAATTTGAGGGCGTTCACTTTGCGCAACTCGGGAAGAAAACGGCCAATTATTAAAGAATGCTTATAAAGCTTTTATTAAAGAAAACGTGCCAAAAGATACAAAAGAAAATAGATGAACTCGTAATGGAAATTTGTTATAAATAAAATTATATGGAAAACACTTGTCATGTTTTCTTTTCCAATTGTTTGAGACAATAATTTCAGTATTGCTCACCACGACAGAACATTTCAAGTTTGATTTGCTGAACCATTTCAACAGTTTGAATCTACTCTCCTCCGGGGAAGAACTTTTTTGCAAAATATAATGGAACTTTCGATTGTCTATCACATCTGAGATCAGATAATTTTATTTTAAATAATTTATTTGATTTTATTTCAATTATTAAGCGACATTAAACGTTAAATTATTTCATTCATTTGTCTAAAGCAATTAAAAACAGTATGTGAGAAGTGTATATTGTGCGTGTTTCTTGAATTATAGGATATCTATCCTAATCCATACACAAGCAAATCCTTTGTTACGCCTGGCACTTCCGTTTTTATCCAAACTTACGCAAAAAGTTTGTAACCTCAATGCTGAGACACCTGTACAATAATGTGTTGATTTGTTCTTGTGGCAAATAACACGGTCTAGAATTCCCGGTTTAGATTTATGACCTGGATGCCTGTCGTGATCAATAAATCAGGCCACTAGTAGGCCAGCGCAGCAGCCGGGACAAGCTCTCAGATAAAATTGAACGTCATATACTCTTTTTATCACGATTGATAAACAACACATAAAAATTACCATCGACATTTTGCCAGATAGTTTAGATAAATTGTAACCCACTGTACGATTTTATTACAGTAGATAACATGTAAGCGTTTTCTTACATTGAAATCAGTTTAAGATTAGATTGGATTCTAAGATCAATTAATTTATCTTTATGGACCTCTAAGCTATTTTTAAACTATTGCCTTACATCATAAAATGAGATAGTATTCAAATCGTGTGCCGGAACACGGAGATTTTTCAACAGAAAAACTCTTATTGCCGGGTCCTGGTAACGAAAAATGAGATGAATCTAATTCTTATTTATAGAAAATAATTTCCTATAACACGTTGTATAATCAGAATTCCTATTTTGTGGACGCTAGTTACAGAAAAATAGATTAACGTCCAAAGGCCTTTATCGATTACTGGCAAAGAAACTGTCTATGGAATTCATAAGATACGTTATACTGCTTAGAAATGAAAAAAATAGCGCATTTGATTTTTCACGATGTTCTAATCCTTCGTTTTACCCATAAATTGCTTTTCTATGTAAAGTTTAATTTTATTTTTTGAAGAGGAATGCACGTGTTAAAGTGAAATGAAAGGGTCAATGAAAATTATTATATTTAACGTTTGTATAATTAGTATTATATTATGACTACACAGCGTATCAAAGTAACTAATTTGCTGTATATGGAAACACTCTTTCTCCATTTTTTCGTTGCCAGGGCGCGGCCACACAAGCCGCAATCACCGCTTCCCTGCGCACAAAGAGAGGACTTTTTCTTTTGACGGTGTACGTGAGAGGAATTATAATAACAATAATAATAATAATAATAGTAATCGTAATAATAATAATAATACCAACAACAACAACAACAACAATAAGGGATTTGTTTCAGCTGAAACCTTCAGTCAAGCTCTTGAGATTGGTGTTTCAGGTTGAGATTCGTGTTTGAGTTTTGGTTGGTAGGCACAATGCCAACCAGCCCCATTCTCTGTCAACCAAATCCACAAAATGAAACAATTTTTCTGTTGTCACTTTTTTCACATCTACTACGTATCATTCTCAAAATATAAACTTTCGTGTCATTTTCATATATTTACAAAAGGAGAAACATATCTGTTTCAAAAGTTCCAAACATTTCATTTCAGTACTGGACTTGTCATTCAGCCAACTCTTTGACGACACAATGCACTAAGCGTAAGCTCTTCCGCCGCTCGTGAGATTCCATCTTGTTCCTCTCTAGCCCTCTTCTCTTATGATAAAGACGGTTTGTACTTAGGAGATATGAAAAAGCTTCAACTCTCTCTTTTGCCATCAATCGGTGATGGTTAGTTTTCCCCTCCCTTTCATAGTTTAGGGCCGAACACCTGTTCCGGCTGCACTCGACCGTTGCCTTTGTCGACCAGGATCTCTTTTTCCAGTTGGTCGATAATGGTAGGCCGCTTTCGGAGCCTACCATCTTCCATTCGTTGTAGGTGTTGTGATCACGCATTATTTTGTTTAATGTGGAGAAAAGTTGAGGTCTTTTCAGATGTTTTCGTTTCTGAACTGGTCTAGGAGGCTACAGCCTCTTACTGCTCTTAGAAATCTGATCGCAAAAACTTGTATATTACTACTTTTCTTTCTTGTCAATACCCATGATTTAGTTTTCAAAAGAGTTATTATTCACT